TATATATATATATATATATGTATATGTATATACACGTCAAGACAGCAAATACGTGGGCTAATATCGGGCTAAAGAAGTTTAAGAGGGTTTTCGGTTAAGAGGATACTTTTGGGAAGGATCATCCGTGACCGTGCAACAAACACGTCCAAGCCTCGCGGTTTGTTCTTCTTTTTTTTTTTTTCATGCGTTCTCGCGTGACGGCTGCAACGGAAAACGGCTGCGCGCTTTTATTGCTAGGTCGCTAGGTTTAAAAAGGATACACGGCTGGCTTTCCAAGGCACCGGCAACGCTTCCGGGAAGGCCTGGCGTGATTCGCGCCTATCGATGCCAACTTCGCTCCCTTCTTTCGACGAGAAGTCTCCAGCGTGGTCATCGCCGTATTTTTTCTTCTCGATGATCGCGCGAATCTCTGATGAATTTCAGACAGCAACGACGTTTATATATATATATATATATTTTTTTTTAACCTCTTTTCTTTAGAAATTCATGGAATTCGCTTTCGAATTTTCAAAATTCTTTTTCTCGGAATTTCAAATCATCGATACGATAATAGTATGTATAATATAATATAGAAGCGAGCTTGGTTAAAAAGTTTTGAAGATTTTTTTTTTACGATTTAGCGTTATTTCTGAATAATAAATTAAGTAACGTAAAGTTTTGTCGAAATATATCGGGAGAAGCGTTTCTTTACTTTGATCGCGCGTCTCGTCGGGATGAGAATCAATATCCATAATCGATGAAAAAACGATAGGCTAAATTTCCATTCGACGAGAGACTTCCCGTCCAAATGGGGAGACGCGACAGTCCCCAAGACTGGGCGGCATACGGAAGAATGATCGTTATCGCGTGCACTGTATAAAAATCTCATCGATTACGCTGACAGCTATTACGCGACGAGTAGATTCGCTCGTCGAATGCGCGTGCACGAAGACGAAGAAGACGAAACAAAAACGAGCCGTCGACGTTCGTCCGTCGCGTCGTTGCGTTCTTTGGTATCGAATCCATTATCACATGTTAGTCTCACTAACGTTGAAGTAGAAATCCTCCTCTGAACAACTTTCTTTCTTCTTCCTCCCCTCCCTCTCTTCTTTCTTCGCTCACCGAATTATCAATATTCGTTTATGATCACGCCAAGTAAGTTCGGCCGACGAACTTAATTCCTTTCTTTTCGCTCGTTTCTGCCCCTTCCTTTTTCTTTTAATTGACTCGTCTTACTCGGTGGATAAGCGGTTCTCCTCTTCCTTCGTCTCCCTTCCTTGATGAGAACTCGTGGAATAATCGCAAGCACCTCGAAAGATGGATTAAAAATATGCCAAAGGAATCTCCCCGATTCGACTCTCCGAGGAGAAGAACGGCCATTTCGCGTGGACGAACATACGAATATTCTACATCGAGTACTACCTTCTCTTCCCACGTCTTCCTGTGCGCGCCTTTTATCGATCTCGTCGTAATGGATCGATCAACATCGTTCTCCATCTATCACGTCTCCTCCTATTTACGTTCAATTATCTCGAGGCGAAAAAGGTGTTCCAGGTGTAAACGGACGCAGCATTCGTTTATCGCGGGAGAAAAGAATTATTCGTTTGGTTAAAGTAGTCGTTGTATACGAGTGACCATCGGTCCCTGAAGCGTGCGCCAACACTGGCCGAAACTAAAACCTATACGTACGTTATGCGTAACAACGAAAATTCTCGCATATATCGTCGCGATATAAAGATCGATCTTCGACGATCTGGAACAACCCCGTTCGCATCGAAAGGCGCGGACCGGGAAACGCGAAGAACGCGCGATCGCCGTACGCGCAACGCGGTTAACGCTGATGTATATGGGTGGTGAGATGCTTGGACAGGTAGTCCGCCCTTGCGAAGCATTTGCCGCACATCTCGCAGTGGTAAGGCCTCTCCCCGGTGTGTATACGGAGATGCCTGGTCAGGTCGCTCTTCCCGCCGAACGCCCGGCCGCAGAACAGGCAGACGAACGGGCGCTCGCCCGTGTGCTTGCGCACGTGCAGCTTCAGATTCTCCTTCGAGCGGACGCACTTACCGCAGAAAGGGCAGGCGAAGCGGCGCTCGCGCCTGTCCACCTCGTGGCTTCCCCTCGCCAAGCCGATCACCCGGTCGGCGCCTGTCACCACCTCCGACCGGTCGTCGTCCACGGCGTTGTCGTCCGCCTCCCCGACCTCGCTCGCGCCCGCCGATCCCCCCATCCCTCCAACTGCCTCCCCCGGCATCTGCACCTCCACCGCCTCCCCCGGATTCTCCCCGTGCACGCTCGCCGTCTCGGACACGCTCTCCTCCCGCGCGTTCTCGTTGAACGCCCCCCTCGTCGTCTCCTCCTCGCCGGGATTCGTGGTCGTGTCGCTGCCCGTCTCCACCTGGGACGGCTCCCCGGTGCTCGACACCTGGTCGCTCCTCTCGGCCGCGGCGGACACCGCGGACATCGCGCCGCTCTGCGGCTCGGGCGCCCGTTGCAACCGTTCCAGCGCGTGGTTCAGCCTGTGCTTCTTGAACGACTTGAGATACCTGAACTGCATCCCGCACACGTCGCAGGTGAACAGCTTGTCGGCGGGGAGGCGGGCGCGGTGATTCTGCTCCCGATGCTTCACGTAGGCGGAACGGTAGCGGTAGCGTTGGCCGCATTGCTCGCAGGTGAACGGCTTGTCGTCGCTCGCCTGGCCGGCGTGTTGGAGCAACGCGTGCCGTTCCAGCAGCCAGGCGGAAGGAAACGTGGCCAGACAGACGCCGCACCGACGCGCCAACCCCGCCAGGCTAGCGAAACCGCCGTGGCCCAGCAGGGAACCGCTTCCGCCGCCTCCGCCCGTGCTGCGTTCCACCAGGGCGCCCCAACCGCCCGCCTCCAAACCGAGGGCCAGCGACACCTGAAATTATCGTGGTCCGTTAGATTCGTGGAATTCGTGGGTTTCGGGGAGAACGGGGAGAAGGATCGCGAGGGGATGATTTTCTCGGCTCGGTTGCCGACCCATGGTTTTCGAGGAGTGGAGGAGGGGTGGATGATGGTGGATCGATTCCTCGTGTTTTTCTCCCGTGCGTGATCTAGTTCGAAAGCGGCGGCGGGGAATGTGAAAGAATAAGGATGGATGTGCTAGAGTGTGTGTGTGTGTGTGTGTGTATGTATATATTATGCATTGTGCAAACGTGAAGAAAGAAATTTTGTGTAAAATCGTGTGAAAAAGAGAGGCATGCGAAGAGAGTTAACACGTGTATATATATAAAACGGATAAAACGGATAAAAGTAAAGGATAAGGACTTACCGATTATTATTGTCGCGTATTCGTTCTCATCATCTGTGACGTGGTAATAATGAATAAATCTTGACGTTTGTTAAACAAAGTTCGAATTAAATATAGAAAAAAGAAAAAAGGAAAAGAGGAGAAAGTATTATCTAATTAAATCAAGGTCTTTTGCGATGTAATAAATATTAGGGGATTGAAATCGAAAAGAAAGCGATCCATTGAGGGAGAAAGGGAGAAGACATTAAAAATTGTGCAAAAGGCGTAAAAGCTATTCTACGAACGGGCATAATAAAAAATTGTGAAGAAAGAAAAAAAAAAAAAAAGAAAGAAAAAGGAAAAAAAGAAAAAGAAAAGAACGACATCAAGGTTCAATGACCTATTGTTAACACAAACAGTTTGCAGCTTTTATTTCACAAATCGTTAATTTACAACTATGATATGCATTCGTTCGCCTAAGAACCGAAACAAAACGTCATTTTACACGAAACAAGGCGTAGTACCCATAATGATCAAGAACGCGTGTCAACGTGGTGAAGTAGTTTTACGGACAAGTCTTTCTCTCCGATATTTTTTTTCTTTTTTTTTTTCTCCTTTTTTTTTATATATATATATATTTCTCAACTGTCGAGATATATATAATATGTATATATCCTGGAATAATATCTTACACGTGTGAACGTGCATCGTCTCGAAGATCACTTTGACCACGCTGTTTGATAACCATCCTAGAACGTTACACGCATATTTGTTTTTTTTTTTTCGTTTTTTGGTTTTTTTTCTTTCTCCGTGTTGAAACACGCAAGCTGCGACCGACAAGTTCCATCGAAAGCGAATCTTCGGTTAGAGTCAATCACGTGCTCCATCCGACGCGTTTCAATCTTAGATTTACGCAGAAACAAAGAACAGAATTATCCTTCATTATCTATCATTTAATCGTTACTATTTATCAAAAAATTTATTCGCTGTTATACACCGACAGAAGTCGTTCATGCTGCACATCTGTTTTACAAAACAACTTTCCGTATCCATTCTTTTCCTTTCTCCGAAATCGCAAGCTCGAACCGCGTCTTCGAGCAACCGATGGACATTGTGTTCTCATGAGCGGCATATGATCGTACGTGTATACGTGTGTGTACGTGTATGTACGTGTGTGCACAAGAGCTTTCTTTCTTTAGCGATTTTACCTGTGTATGTACGTGTGTGTGTATGTGTGTGTGATGTGTATGTGTACATATGTCTTTTTGTTCCTATTTTTTCTTTTTTTCTTTTTTTTTTTTTTTTACAATCGATCCTCCTCCTCGGAGGATCCGTGACTTTTGAACAACGCGTGGACACATCTTTCTTCTCCACGCTTTTACCTCAACATCCGCAGATCCGATAGAACGGCGGGAATAGCGAGTACGACGAACGCCAGAAAGACGCATAAGCTTTCGGAGCACCATTTTTCTATTCTTCTATTCCATTTCTTTCCGTTTCTCTTTTTTTTCTTACTTTTTTGTTCTTTTTTTTTTAGAATTTTTTTCCCTTTCCTTTTCGCCCTCTGACCGGTTCCATCGTCGAGACCTTATCGACGATCACTTCGAGCGAAATTCTCAGAGTATTTGCGAATTAATCTAATCGGGAAAATATCCACGAGATCTCAAAATATTGGCGAAACACTTGGAAATATTCGTGAGATCTCGAGGTGCGCTCTCAAGAATTGGAAATATTCGCAAGGTCTCAAAGTGTTCGCGAGATCTCAAAATATTCGCGTTCGCAATGTTTCCAAGTATTCGCGAGATCTCGGCCGCGTTCGCAAAATTTCGAAATATTCGCGAAACAAATCTCTGTGACGAAGTAGCGTTCACGAGGCCTCGACGTGATCGGAAGATCGATCATCGAGGCAACGGGGGATCTTAACATTGGTTCTTCCCTAGATGGAACTTGGCTCGATCGTTCGCGTCGATCGAACGTCCCCGCTGCCTCGAGACGACCACCAGCAGAGGAGTGAATTGCGAAAACGAGACGCGTTTTCCATTCGTTCGCGCTACCGTTGTTCCCTATTGTCTACGGGCGGCGAGCCGATGATGATCGCGCCTCGATAACTCATCTACGTGTCCTATCGCGGGCCGTGATATCTAAGATCAGCAAGGTCGCGCCAGAGTGTTCTCCGGGCACATCACGCGACGCTTTCGACGTACTGGGTGTTAGTCAAGTCCGTGTTGTGGAACGAGCGTGATGGACATTGTTTCATGGCCGAAGGATAACTCGAATGCGATAACGAAAGACCACAAAGTGTGTACATTTGATGATATAGTATATCGATTTAAGTTTAAGAACCATTGAGATTAGAATTATGGAAGTTGATCCGAAGTATTTGATCAGAAGAATGATATCGAAATTAATATATCGTCGATCGTTTGATTAGAAAATAAAATTTTTTTCATTAAACGAGCATTATTGTCGAATTTCCGACACATGAACAATGCGAAACGAACAATTTCATTTTTTAAACTATCATATATTATATCGAATCGCGTTGAAGCAAGTGAAAGAAAATGTCGTTAATGTACACACACATAAATTTCACAATTATGCAGTCAAAGTGTCGAAGGAAATTCCATCATCGATATATTTATATATGCACTCCTTTTTAAGATGTCTTACGTTTCTTGCGTACTCGTTTTTTCTTTATTTCTCGAGATATATCGAGCAAAATTAGTTAAGACACGCACGTGAATTAAAACTTTTCGAGTAAATAGAAGATTTCTTTTCTTTTTTTTTTTCTTTAATAAAGATGGCACACGAAAAAGAACAATGATAAAACATTTTAATTACGAGAGAGAGAAATTTTATCGCCAACCTTTTTTTTTTTTATAATTGAAAGCAAATTATACTTTTACGTCACGAAATTTGTGAAATGTTAATCAAGCGAGATTATGGTGCGAAGATTATTCCCCATGCTCGTTCGAACATTGACGTACACCGTACGTGACACGGCTCGTGTGCTTTTCACGTCTCGAGAAACGTTCCCGCGTAAAAGGGAACCTTGTCAACTTCTTTGCAAACGAATCGGAACACGTACGGTTAGATAAATCGTTTAAACAAATCGTTTTTGTTCCAGTGATCTTTTCTTTCGTTTACGTTACATACGTGTCCCGACAATTCTTCTTGCGTGATCTTAGATCGTTAGAATTTTCCGTTTCTCTTCACATTTAGATTTCTCGGTTGAGAATTTTCTGGAGAAAATTATCTTCTTTTTTTACCATTCCTTCCAAAAAGGATCCAATAAGGGCAAAAATAAATTTACAGCGACAAATCAATGTTGCACGACGTTATATATATATTATACGTAAAACGAAAGAGTTAAGAATCATATCGCCAACATTCGAATAAAGTATCGATATTCTATTAAACAAAAATATGTGATAATTGTCGGTTTCGCGAACGAAGCTGCGTCTCGTTTTAGGATTCGTTCGAGCGAGATTCCTAAAAAATGGGGGCGACCGAGGCAAAACTAGCTACGCGCATTATTTCTCTCTTAACAACGTCACGTTATCTCGTCTCTAAAAAATCACTAGCGGTTTAAACTCGATAAATCAAGCGATCTGGACGTCAGTGCTTGGGTGTACGTGCTGGAATGTAGGGTTTCTTTATTTATTCCTTCTTTCTTTCTCTCTCTCTCTCTCTTTCTTCCCTCGTTTTTCCTCTTCCTCTCTTTTTCCACCTTTTTCTTTTTTCTTATTTTTTTTTCCTTTTTGTTTTGTTTTTCGAAAACGGCAATGGGCGTCGATCGATCGATCTCTGTATTCGCGACCGAGAGATTCGGGGACGCGGGTCGCGCGCGTGTCACACATCATCTGCAAAGCAAAAAATCTAAAATCTCTTGGTTGGCACACAAAACGAAACGATGTGGCGTCACGCGGACATCCGGCGCGGTGGCGCTCGGATCGGCCGCCATGACTTCGTTACAAGTATGAAAAATATTCCGGCTTGGTTTTTCTCTCTTTCCTTTCTTCTTCCTCCTCTTCCTCTTCTTTTTCTTCTTCTTCTTCTTCTTCACCTTCGTTTTCATCTTCTTTTTTTTTTTTTTATTTCATTAAATACGGTTTAAAAAAGTTATTGCATCTGGGTATACCTATATTGTATAGGTACGTAACTTCATTTTTTTCTTTTATCGATATATTGTACAAATATTGTTGTAAGTCGGTACAAACGTTATTGTAGAAAACATAACAACTCGTAGGTTCCTCTCGTTCTCAATCTTTCACCTTTGCTTGCGTGTTATTTTATTTCTCTTTTTCTTCTCTCTCTCTCTCTCTCTCTCCTTTCTCAATCTCTCTTTTTCTCGCTAATTTGGTTCATTCATGTACATTTTCTC